TCAAGACCGTGCTGGGGAAACCCACAGAAACAGCTGACCTGAACAAGTGGGAGCTCACGAACTTCAGACTGACAGCTGACAGCTGGAGAACCTGCATAAGACTGAACTAGGCTCCCTGAATGCAGGTTTCAGTTGGGAATTGGGGCAGTCTATGGGGCTTCTGGCAGTGGAACCAGTGTTTATCCCTAGTACACGAATGGGCTTTTTGGAGCCCATTCCCTATGGAGGGATGATGGAGATGTCATTCTGTATATGTTTCTCATACTGGTTAATAATAAAGCACTGTTGGCCAATAGGAAAGGAAGATAGGAGGGACTAGGAGCCAAGGAGGAAATAGGAAGTAGGAAGGAGGAGTCAAGATGGAGAGTCTGAAGAAAGCAGTATGCCGCCGGCTCCCTGGTAAGAGAAATACATATATCAGCAGAAATGGGTTAATAATTAAAGGCAGAGCTAGCCGATAAGAAACAAGTAACCGGGCCAACAGGATTATATCAAATACAGAGTCTCTGTGTATTATTTGGGGCTGGCGCTGCTGCCGGACAAGAGTGGTGGCGGGTGGAAAAACTGTACTCCTTACAGAGGGATACTCTCTCAGCCTAGATACAAGGGAGGAGGGCATCAATCCTGCCCCAAATGATGTGACACTTTGGTGATTCCCCATGGGAGGCCTCCCCTTCTCTGAGGAGAAGATGGGGGGGATGGGATAGGGAGATGGTGGGGGGAGTGGGAGGACAGGAGGGAGAGGGAACTAGAATTGCTCTGTAAAATGAAATTGTTTTTTAAAACAAAGAAGAAATGAAAAGAAAACTACAAAACACACAAAATTACTACTTTTTTCCTATAAATTAACAATGAGAATTTCAAAAATAAGTTAGATAGTAAACCCATTTGGATTGCTTCAAAAAGATGAATACGCTAAGTAATGAGGTAAATGCCTTCAACGAGGCCTCATCTAAGGCACACGGGAAAATAATAACATTGTACCAAAGTTCCACACACTCTGACTGAAAACAAAATGTTTAGTTTATGTTACTATTGTTATTAACAGCAGCTGACAGAATGGTCACAATTCCCATCAGCCAAAAATTACATTCATCATAAAAGTAAACATGGAAAGTGGAAAACCATAAATATTAAAATTAATCCTAAGAATGTGTATTCCTGTTGGCATCACAAGACCTGATTCAACTCATATACAGAGCCTCAGAGACAGACAACATGGTCTGTCCTATGCGTGAAGAAAGTTGTGGAAAGAACAGAACATTGAGCCCAACAACAAAAAATAAATTGAAGAGGCCCAATTTAGGGAAATGGCATAATCCAAAAATTACAGAGATTTCACTATACAAGAAGCACATAAACCAAAACACTGTGTGTGTGTGTGTGTGTGTGTGTGTGTGTGTGTAAATATTGTGACCTAGTGAGAGCAACGGACCCCAGTCGTAAAGCTGGGGAACCAGCGTTGTACTGAACCAAGCCCTCTGAATGTGGGTGCCAGTTGGGAGGCCTGGGCAGTTTATGGGACCTCTGACAGTGGAACCAGTATTTATCCCTCATGCACAAATGGACTTTAGGAGCCCATTTCCCATGGAGGGATACTCTCTCAGCCCAGATACACAGAGGAGGGCCTAGTCCCTGCCCCAAATGATGTGAGAGACTTTGAGCATTCCCCCATGGAAGGCCTACTATCTTTGGGGAGTAGGTGGAGTGTGGGTTGGGAGTTTGGTGGGGGACATGGGAGGATGGGAGAGAGAAAAAGAAGGGGTACTGATATGTAAAATAAAATTGTTTCTAAATAAAAATAATTTTAAAAAGAATTATTTTTATTTTTTCATGTATGTATATTTGGTCTTCATGTATGGATGTGACCACAGTGAATGGAAGGGAGAATCTGCTACCCTAAACAAGAGTTACAGACAACTGTGAGCTGTAATGTGGGAGTTGAGAAGCAATCTATGTCTTCAGGAAGAGCAAGCAGTGCTCCTGAAGACTGAGCCTTTTTTACAAGCACTAAAAACGTGCGTGTGAGTGTGTGTTTTAAAGTACTCATCATTCTTAGTCATGCAAATAGAAAGTTTAAAAAAAAAAGTTGTTTAGTGACTCTCAGCTTGATCCAGTCTGAATGGCTAATCTTAAGAAAAGTTAGTGTGGAGCTAGGATTGAAGGCATTCCCACACCCCCAGAGGCAGAAGGATATGAATTCCATTGATTCTTTGCCAGCCTGCTCTATCTAGTCAGTTGCAAGTTGGCTAGAGGCCCTGTCTCAAAAACACACTGGAAAATAAAATGAATGGTCTCACATGCAGGCAAGGGAATGGGAAATGGGATCCTTACTCACTCTTGGTGGGAATGTCAACTGGTACAAAAGAGTGAATTCATTTGAGAGGATTCAAACCACAATGCTACCCACCACAGTTAGACTGAGTTTTCACTCATAGCTCCTAAAGTTCCACAAGAGCAGTACTCACTGCTCATCACCGAGCCATGTCTCCAGGCCATGTGTACAATCCTTAGTGCGTGAGTGTGTGACTGCACACATATCTACACAGAACAAAAGATCTATCCCAGTATGTGGGACTTGGGATATGACTCCATTGTTAGGATCGGTTGCCAGCATACTTCATGAAATCATGACTGTGATTCCAGGCATCTCGTAAGTCAAGTATTATAGTTTAAAGCTGTAATCCCATCAATGGGTTTAAAGAGGAAGATCAGAAGTTCAAGGTCAATCTAGGCTACATAGTGAGTTTGAGGCCAGCCTGGGATACATGAGAATTTGTCTCAAAGAAAAAGAATTAAGTATCTCACAGGCATCATCACCGCACCCTTGGCTATCAGCACCCTGAAAGGTAACCAGTTCTATTTTCCCAGTCTCAAGGGTCCCTGAGGGGCTGAGGTATTTCCTGTTCCCTACACCCTGATAAGGATAGCTACTGGTTGCCAGGCTTGTGTTTATTCCCGTGCATTCCTATGCAATGTAGAAGAGTGACTATGTGCCTTTTGTTCTTTATGAATAACACCTGGTTAATCATCCTCCTGTTCCTCTCTGACTATTCCAACACCTTGCTAGCCTCTGTATATGCTCAGGACCCAAATGAGTAGGGCCATGAGGGACTTCGGTGACTTCAGGCAGGATTTAGTTAAAAGATGAAGGAATGTCCCTCAGTATATTGAAAGATAACAATATGAGAGCCCATAGTCTATAAGTTGCATGCTGCTGGTGGGGGCAGAATGCCTAAGATGGGAGGTTCAGGGGTGCGAGAGCAGTGGAAATAAGGGATTCCAAGTGAATTCATGTTGAGTTGTAGGAATGGACTGAGGTAGAGTGGATGATAGTCCCAAGAAACAATCCCTCAAGAAATGGGCTGGGGTTTGGAAATTACAATGATATGGGCAGGCAAGGCTAACCCTGACTTTCCTAATATCACCCTGCCTTCCTTCTTTTAGGAAAGTCAAAGCTGCTAAAGCAGAGACAGGGGGAATCATCATGACCTTTTTCTTTCTAGGTCTGGCTTTGGGAGCTGTATGGGAAGAAAAGGACTGTACTGCCTTCCTGGATCCTCAAATCTTTTGCTGACAGCAATGAGCAGGGGTCCAGAGGTTTGCTTTCTAGCTGATTTCTGCATTCGTCTGGGTTTTGCTGGACTCCCACATCCAGGATCCAGCAAAGAAGCCTCTAAAGCTGAACTTGGGATTGAGGGGATCAGAATGGCAAATTGGCATTCTCTTACTCACAGTGGGCAGTCTGAGTGTTCTTGCTTAAGCTCCTTGACTGAGAAACATCTGTCCATCTGCCTATTCCAAGGATGAAATGAAGGCTTCAGGCCTGACCGATGTCACCAAATGATCTATGATGTTCACTCTCTTTCTTCTATGCCTGTTGCCTATGTCTCCATTCCTTGTCATTTTACTGCCTTTTTTACGTTGATATATACCAGGTGGCTTCATAGGTTCTCTAATTAAATAAACTCTTTTCTTTCCACAGTTCCCTGTGTCTTCCTGTGGCCTAAACCTTTGGACAGGACAGAAAAATGGCTGCCTGGGGAGTGAGGGGACACTAGCCCACAGGAGCACGTGGCTCTGGCAGCCTTGCCCTTGCCCCCTTTCCTCTCTGCCTAGCTAAAACCATTAGATTACACTCCTGAAGCTGCCACCAAGGTCTATCCTCTTATTTGGCACTTCCTCCTCCTGAGGCTGAGTGCTGAGAGCCAGCTATCTAAATGTCCAGCAGTCAAAAGGCCTCTTTGGTTCACCTAATTAACATGTTCAATTCAAATGTACCATCATGTCCCAGCCCATTCTACACAGCCCTCCCAATTTTTAACTCTTAAAATCCCACCTGCAAGGACATTTGCTGGTTTTGTTTTGTTTTTCTGCCCGAGTCAGAAAGCCGCCACTTTTAAGTTTTCTTCCCTGCTTAATAAGGGATCTCTTTATGAAAACAAGTGTTTGGGGATGGTTTGTGCCTAACCAAGGGTCCAGGAAGAAGTCACCGCTGGGAGGGACATCTTCAGGAAGAATGAAGCGAATATAGCACTTCGTCTTGAGAGGGGCTGCAATACCCCCTTTTACGACTACAGAGAAGGGACAGGCCTGGAGTCAAGACATCCAGACTGTGGCCCAGATCCAGAAAATCTAGTTTTTTGTTTTGTTTTTAAGATAAGATGTACCTGAAGATGACCTTGAACTGCGTTCACCACTTAGTGCTGGCATGTACCACCATGCCCTAGATCCATTGATCAAATCCAGTGCTCCCTGCATGCTAGACAAGCACTCTACTAACGGAGCTGCATCTCAGTCTGTCTTCCTTATTCACAGCACTGGAAAAGGAGGCAGCTTTGGGTCTCCCCTTCGTCCTCCCTGTTACATTCCCCTCCCCCACTGACACTGTCTCAGCCTCTAGAATGAACTCAGCCAAAATGTCCAGCACCATCCCTAACTTCTGGGTGTACTCTCACATCCTAGGTCAGGAAAGGGCTAAGGCTGAGATTCTCCCTTACCTTGGCACCAAGCCCTGTCACGACAGTGTTTGAAGAAATCGCAGTAGCGCGATTACGGCTACTTCCTCCACGGACAGTCAAAACCTTGCAGCTCACAAACAGGTTTCCGTTGCTCTCCGCCCCTCCGCAACGTGCGGTCGGTACGTCCAGACGTCACGGGGGCGGGCAGCTGCAGTTGGCCTGCTTGATGCCATTCCTTTAAGGCAGGGCAATCGGAGGGAGGGACCGGAGCTGTGACTCCCAGTCAAAATGGAGGTCCTGGTGCACGTGGGAGCGATCCCTACGGTCACTCCCCACGCAGGTCAGTGTGTGTGAGTCTATCGCGGACATCCTGCTCTGTTCTGCTGTTAAGGTAAAGCCTCGTCGGCCTGCCCCTGACAGCTCCCCTTGATCCTATGTTGTCGCAAAGACTCCGGCTTTCCAGAGCTGGACTACTCACCTCCTCACAACAGGGAGCCAGTTTTGGTGACCCAGCCAGCAACTGCATATCACATATTCCAAGGGAGGGAAGAAAGAAAGAAATAGCATGGCATATTAAACTTCTGCTCTACCCAGGAGCCAAGAGGGACATTCCTCAGCCTGCACAGGCTTCATGGGTCCTGGTCAGAAAAGATTTGCTAGGTATGGCTCCAAGGGTTTGTACTGTGCAGAAATGTATTTAATGTGATGGGAAATGACAAGAGTTATAACTTAGGAGCAACATGGTTGTTGTGATGAGAAATTCCAGTCTTGATATTTTCCCACATCAGGTCATGCAAACAAAAGCCAGGGCTAAATGGACTAGACCTAGATAGCTTTGGAATAACTTGGCTAAAAGGGCTGTCTGGGCTAGGGAGGGGGCTAAGCATTTGCTGTAGACAGGGAGTAACTGGAGGGAGGGAGGAAGGAACCACTTGGCTCTCCCTTAAAACAAAGCCTGCCTTTTGGGTCCAGTTTCTGCAGCCATCTCCCTCTTTCCCTCAGTCCCCCTTCCTTCCACTTCCACATTTCACACAGTCCACCCAGCTCCACAGGAGGAAAGAGCTCTGCTGGGGATTCCTAACACTTCTCCACATATGCACAGAACCTGTCTCTGACCAGACCTGGTCAACTGAGCTCAGGCTAACAAAGGAGGGCAGTGAGAGATATTGTGCATGGAGCTCCCACAATTTCAAGAGTTGGTGCTAAGTGTTTGTGACCAAGGCATCAATTACAAAAGGATTACTGTGGACTCCTCTCTCCCATGCACAGGACCAAGTCTCTTTGTTGGTGACCACCAAATACCACTCATTTCCAAAAATCAGGTCAGGGCAGGTACCCCCTGCTTTCCAGCATCTCTCATCTGGAAGTCCAATGCCTCTATTTTGTCTACCATCTCCAGAGCCTAGTCACTCCCTCTACTAGCATGTTCTACCTAAGGTCAAGTCTCTACTGGCTATTCAATAGTACACAAGCAATTATCTCCTAGTCCAGCTGTTTCTGACTCCCACTGGGCCTATTGGAAGAAAGGGAAAATAAAGAGACAATACAGGACCTTGAGGAATACTTGGGGGAACTCAGGAGAGACAAGGCTTTGGGGAGGCCCAAACAGACATCACTCTTCATGGCAGAGGAGGATGAAAACTGGGGCAGGCTAATGCCTATCCTGTTTGCTGGGGCAAGAGTGTTCAGTCTAGCCAGCTTTCTTTCAGAGCCTATTATAAACAGGCACTCTAGCAGCACCCCTAAAACAAGCTTATCATTCCTGGTGATGTTCAACTAAGGATTCCTGTCAGTCAAGCCCGTCCACTTGAGTGTCTCCATTTTCGTAGAGGTTGAAGCTGCTGTAAGCTCACCACCTGCAGTTGGAAGCTGCTAGCCTGAGGACAGTTTCTCCATTTTGACTCTGCTCAGCTAGGGCAACGAGTTAGTAAGACAGGAAGCTGCATATTTAGTGTCCCCATGCAACCCTATTGCGTCTTCCTTAACCTCGAGATCCTTGTCAGTCCACAAAGGATGGATCCAGGGCTGTGGGTGGTCACAAGGAACCTCAGCTTGGTACCCCTGTAAGCACTTTCAGGGAGTTCAGTAACCCTACACTGGAGTCACACTGGCTGTTGTTAGCTTCTGAGATATGCTATATGTTTTTCTGGCCAATTCTTTATGAAAAGTACTGGCTGTATATAAAAGATGTAAGTTACCCAGGCATTGGTGGCACGTGCCTTTAATCCCAACACTCTGGAGGCAGAGGCAGGCAGATCTCTGAGTTCAAGGTCAGCCTGGTGTACAGTTCCAGGATAGGCTCCAAATCAATACAGAGAGACACTGTCTGGAAAAACAAAACAAAACAAAAACAGATGTAATGTATGTTACTGTATGGCATGGATTGCATTCAAAATCATGATGGGAGAACCCACAGAGACAGCTGACCAGCTTATGGGAGCTCATGGACTCTGAACTGATAGCCAGGGAGCCTGCATAGGACTGACCAGGGCCCTCTGCATGTAGGTGATGGTTGTATAGCTTGGTTTGCTTGTGGGGCCCCTAGCAACAGGATCAGGACCTGTCCCTGGCTCATTAGCTGCCTTTTGGAACCAATTCTTTATGCAGGAATGCAGCACCCAGCCTTGATGTGGGAGAGGGGGCTGGGGGAGTTTGTTCCTGCATGAACTTTATATACTGTGCTTTGTTGGCTCCCATGGGAGTCCTGTCCCTTTCTGAAAGGAGGAGGAATGGATGGAGGAGTGGATGGAAGGTGGGGATGGGAATGAGAAGAGAGGAGGGAGGGGGAACTGTGGTTGGTATATAAAATAAATGGAAAAAAAATGTAATAAATACAGACAAAAAAGAGAGAGAGAGAAATTTGTGTGTGTTCTAATTTTCCATAAATGTTTTTTAAGTGCGGCACAAGACAAAATAGGTAAATATCAGCAGTTACCACTTGGCTGCCCTATAGCCAGACCTCAGATTATACCTCTGAGGTTTCTGACCACTGGAATCAGGTTAACAGACGTTTGGATATTTTTTGATACTCTATTTTATTGAACAGCTGTCTCTAGAGTTGGGGTCTGGCTCTTTTCTTTAGAGTCAAACATGTTTAAACCTTCCTTCGGTGACCCATGACAGACTACCCTCCTTTCACAGAGAACAAAACACAGCAGACACAATGTTAGACTTGGTTTATGTAAAACTTCCATATCTCAAGATGTATAAGTTTGTTTTATTGGATTTGCTTAAAAATCTGTAAAAACCTATAAAAAAAGAATTTAAAACTGTTAACATATTGTTGATAATTTAAAAATCTACACATAGGTAATCTTAAGGAGAACATGTGCCATTCTGGCATATAAGCAACACATGACTGGTTGCCATTTTTGCTAGGGTTGAAGAAGATGAATGCCATGTGACTCCACCACCATCTTAATTAAAGGTGACCATATGGAGTGGGCGTATCCAGAAGAGACAATAGGTATCCAAGATAATTTTGGATTAGAATGGTTTTTTATGTGACAATCTTTATCTTGTCCTGAAAATGAAAACAAAGTTTATAAATAAATCATAGATATAAAATATTAAATAATCTACACTATTAGAGCTTGGTTTACCTTGTGTAGATTATGGTTGTTTTCCCTCTTGAAGTAAAAATGGGTACCTTATTTTTGAGAGATCTTAAATCTTTGAGTAAATTTCAAAATTACAAAAAATACTGGATATATTTTAAGAAACAGCTTTTAGAAATATTTATTATTTTTAATTATTTTTTACATTCCAATCCCAGTTCCCCCTTCCTCCTCTTCTCCCACTCCGCCTACCCCCCCTCCCTGCTAAGTCTGTCCCATCATCTAGTTGAGGTAGACCCAAGGCATCCCCCACCCCTACAGTGTCTAGGCTGATCAAAGTATAGAAATAATTAGTATTTTAAGGCTGTAAAACACCTTAAGTTCATAAGAGGTTTTATTATAATACAATCTTGATAAATAAGGAGCTTTAACAATTAGAAGCACCCATTTCTTTCCCCAGAGCTCCAGCTTCCTTCTCAGTTCTTTCCCGTGTAAAATTCAGGCCACAAACCTCATTTTCTATGAGTTACTACTAGGTCTACATGGAGTTTATCTTAATATTAGACTCCAAAGAAGGAAATAAGCTCATAAAACAAGAGTTCACTGCAACTTTTTACTATTCCTTCATTTAAAGGAATACACTCTACAGTGACTGCCTTGAGTAATTAACCACCTCTGTCTCCTGGTAAATGATTAGAGAGAAAATAGATGCAAAGTGTAAACCTTAAGCTGTGAGGATCTAAAAAGATGCTGTACAGTTGAAGGTGTTTTAAGGTGTATAAATGCAAGTTATAGAGGTCTGAGGATGTGAACCTTAAATTGTGGTAAGGAACTTGCTTAGGTGTATAAATACAAGACTTTATGGTGTGTAAATGAAAGTTATAGAGGTCTGAGGCTATGAAAACTTAAATTGTGATAAGAATAAATGCAAATTATAGAGGACATCATGGCCTGTGTTGTGAGGATCTAAACAGGTATTTTGGGATACTTGGATGGATGGAATTTGGAAAGTTATAAAGATGGATATATAGATATAGATATAGATATAGATATATATATATACATATATATATGTATATATATATAATGTTTCAGATTTCTTTTCCCTTCTATGCTTTTGGTTTTTGTTACACTAAGTTTTCAAAATTCCAGAGTTTTAACATTAACCACTGGACTGCTGACAAGCCATTAATCTATCTCTAACAATGCTGACTACTTATTGGTCAGTCACAAGCTCAAGATTCTGAGTTTCCTTTGATTGTCCTCTAATTATATATGACTAAAGACATCTCTGTCCAATCTATAGCTGCCTCTCAAGACAGAGGAAAAAATGTTAATACTTTTAAAACCAAAGTTATACCTTTTGCCAGGATTCAAAGGAATGAGTCCACTTCAGGTGTTTTATTTATTTGTTTGTTTTGGGTTGTTTGTGTGCTTGTTTGTTTGTTTTTTTTGAGTCAGGGTTTTTCTGTGTAGCTTGGAGCCTGTCTTGGAACTAACTCTGTAGACCAGGCTGACCTCAAACAGATAT